AAAGGCATTAGAATCCACCACACCAAATGAGGCATGGAGTGGAAGTAGGCCCCATATGGAGTACATAAGGATATTTGGATGTATTGCATATGCCATGGTGCTGGATGAGAAGAAGACCAAACTCAATGCCAAAGGTATGAAATGTATTTTCCTTGGCTATTGTAAAGGCACCAAAGCATATAGGCTCATGTGTATTGAAACCAAGAAAATCATCAAGTATAGAGATATTATGTTTATAGAGGATAAGACTAGTATTGGCAATATTTTGGAAATACACCCAAGTGGAAGAAATGTGGCTCCATCCTTATAGTAGTGATTGTAGATGAATCTTCCAAATCACTTTCTTTTAATGATAATGAGGATAGGAAAGACTTAAAGGATTCTAATAAAATAAGGAAGTTGAGAAGCAAGATGCTCAAGAGTGTTCTTCAACACCTCAAACTCAAAACAATTCAAGAAAAGTAACAAAGCCTCTATTAAGTGTCCTTCAAGAAGGACAATCCATCGAAGAGCATTGTTATCCTCAAAAGAGGCGTTGGCTCCCAAGAAAGTGGTGGAAAATTCATATCTTGTCACAACATGCTGTGAAACGTGCTAATGTTGCAATGTTGGATGATCCCTTGAGTTTATACGAAGCCATGCGATTGAACGATGCAAGTAAGTGGGAGGTGCCTATACAAAAGGAGTATGGCTCATTCATGCCCAATGGAACATGGAAGTTGACCTCCGTTTAAAAGAGCTTCAAAAGTATTAGATGCAAGTGGATGTTTCATACCAAGAGGGATGCAACAAGTTAAGTAGTGAGGTACAAAGCCAAGTTAATTGTAAAAAAGTATTTCCAAGTTGTCAAAGTTGATTTCAAAGAGATATTTGTTCTTATTGGAAAATTCACCACCATTCAATGCATGCTTGTGATTAGGGTGGCGATGGAATTGGAGATCCATCAAATGGATGTGAAAATCACATTTTTGAATGTAGAGTTGGAGGAAGATATCTATATGGAGCAATCCAAGGAATTTGTACAAAAGGGTAAAAAGTATCTTGTGTGTAAGCTCAAAAAATCATTGTATAGGCTCAAGCAATCATTAAGAACATGGTACCAAAAAATCAATTTGTTCTTCACCAATGAGGGCTTTTGTAGGAGCCAAGTGGATCATTCCTTGTACATCAAACAATTGAGTGAGTCATTATTGATGGTGATCATCTATATAGATGACTTGATTATCTTGGCAAGCAATTTGAGTGCATTGAAATATATGAAGATGAAGCTTGAAGATGAGTTTAAGATGAGCGATCTTAGAAATTTGTACTATTGCCTTGGAATTGAATTTGAGAGGAATAGAACTGGCCACACAATCACCATAAACCAAAGCAAGTACATTGAAGAGGTACTCAAGCAATTCAACATGGAAGAGTTCAAGCTTATTGGCACTCCACTTTATATGAATTCCAAGTTGTTGAAACTCATGGAGGAGGAGTTTAAAGAAATTGAAAGAGAGATATAAGGAGTTTGATACAAAGTAGTGGTGGACTCATTGATGTATGCCATGGAAGGCACACAAGTGAACCTTACATTTCGAGTGAGTATGGTGAGTCAATTCATGTCAAGGATTGATTCATCACATTGAAGCACATCATGCGGTATTTGAAGAGTACTTAGTACTTGAAGTTGTATCTTAGAGGCACAGATGTGAATTTAAGAAGATTTTGTGATGCGATGTGAGCCAAAATCTTGGTTCACAATGTTGATTTTAATAAAACTTAAAGGAAATAGAAGTAATGGAGTTAAATTAGATAAAATTAAATGAAAGGTTAAGAATGTAGAGGATATAGGTTAGTATGTGGTTAGAAACTATTTAGAACTATTTGGGATGACAATTGGATGCTCATACATTTCTTAGAATTAGATTTAGAATTTTTAATTTAACTTTAATGATTTAGAATTAGACTAGAAATTTTTGCATTAGTTTTTGAGTGAGATCTAGGTTAGAATAAGCATTTATAATACTCCATAGAAGCATGGAATTAGAGTATAATTGAGACTTAAAAAAAAATTAAAAAGATTAGAATAAGAGTCATTAATCGTAACTACCAATTGATATTATTTTTATAGGGACAGGGTTTTGTCTTTGACCATGGTAGTGAGGGTTTCTACAAACTAGTTGTGGCGGCTAGGATTCTGTCAATGACTAGCATAGGTAGCCCTTCTTGATAGCTAGGTTTTTTGAGAGATCAAATAGCGCTCTCCGGGCATTTGTCGCGAGCTTTGTTTTTCTGTGGACTATAGAAAGGGTGGTGGTAGGCACTATTCATGTGTCGGAGGACAGTTTTGATAAAATTGGCAAGATTGAACATGGTGAATGTGGGTATGAATGTTTTTTCCCAATCAAGAAAAGAGTATGCCATCATTCCAAAAACAGAGTTGCTCAAAGATTTGAAGATGATGTCATTTATTAACTATAATAATTCTAAGTGGCCAAAGGATCTACAAATGCCTCATCTTAAAGTTTGCATACTTCGGAAAATACCTGATATGCAAAGGAAATTGTTGACAAATTAATTTAAAAAGATGCCAAATTTGAAATTTTCGGATCTCTCACGCAACAATCTTTTAGATAGAAAGGTTCTGTGTTTTAGGAACTTAGTATCTCTCACGTACTTAGAATTATAATGGAATCTATTTCACGAGTTTTCAATGAGTGTTGTCAACTTGTACAAATTAGTATCCTTAAATGTCGCTGAATGTAGATCTTTGGAGGCACTTCCAGAGAACATTGGCAATTTGAATTTTCTTGAGGACTTAGATTTGTTGAGATGTGAATCCTTAAAGGTACTTCTAGAGAGTATCAGCAATTTGAACTCTCTAGTGAAGTTGGATTTGAGAGGTTGTGATTCGTCGGAGGCACTTCCAGAGAGCATTGGCAATTTGAACTCTCTTGTGAAGTTGAATTTGTTTAAATGTCAATCCTTGAGGATACTTCCAAAGAGCATTGGCCATTTGAACTCTCAAGTGGACTTAAATTTAAAATTTTGTCTATCCTTGAAGGCACTTCCAGAGAGCATCGGCAATTTGAACTCTCTTGTGAAGTTGGATTTGAGAGGTTGTAAATCCTTGAAGGCACTTCCAAAGAGCATTGATAATTTGAAGAGTCTTAAACTTTTCAAATGAATCATGTAATAATATATTGTGAAATCATTTGTAGGGATGAAATTAGGATGTAGTTATTTATTAACTTTTTGAAGACCCTATTGTGGATTTTTTTTAATAACTTTTAGAAAAATTGTAGAAAATTTCATGGTCTCATGTAGTTGAATTTTTTTTTTTTTTTCAAATTTTGTTGTTGGAGTAAACGAGTTTATTTTATTTTTGCTTTTCAATAATAATCACATCCTTATCCAATGTGGTTTGTAACTTTTTAATATTCTCTTATTATCTCTTAAATATTATGATTATTATTTTATAAATTTGGTCTTAAATGGTTTGATTAAGTGTAATTTGTTATGTTGAAATATCATATTATTCCTTCAAAACAAACAACTATATTTCTCAAAATGATAATTATATTTTATGAATCCAATCTAATTTTAAATGTATTTTGATAGCATTAAATATTAAAGTACTAGAAATTTAAAAGAAGAGTCATGAAGGGCAATCTTTTGAAAAGTTAGTCATTGTCATGGATATATTTTATAGAGAACAGAAGAAGCTAAACATAGATAGTACTATGAGAAAGTTAATATGAACTTGATTAAATCCAATGAGTACAAGAATAACACCAAGAGGTGTGAGTTAGAGTTCTAAGAGATATATTGTTGAGACTAAAGAGCTCTTCAACCTCAACTTCTATTTATACTTCTAAATAAGAAGCTTCTCAAGTGGCTTTTATTAGATAAGAAGCTTCTCAAGCAACTTCCTTTAGCTAGAAAGATTTTAGGAGGTTTTGAAGACTTCCAAAAAGTATGTCCTTGACAGCCACTTGATTTTTTATTACATATATTCAATTTTGAGAAGATTTTTATAGCTTAATGTGAATAATTTTTTTGAAATTTTAAATTATTTCCAAAATAATATATTGGTTAAGTTTATGAAATGATGATACAAAAATAAAGTCTCTTATAATATGGTGGTTAAAAAATCAAGATGGATTTTTAATAATTTGAATATAGGTTTTTTAAGCTATTTTAATTGATTCACTAGCCATTAGTATATTAGTTAATTCAAGTGATTTTGATTTGATGACATAAATTATGTTAGATTTCCTTGTATACTTTATTGTTTGGTTTTTAATGATATATGTAGTTGGAGTGAATATATGTTAAATTTTTTACTATAAGAATTTCATGATTCATGTATTATAATAAAAAAAAATTATTATTTTTATTATACTTGGTTGTTTTGGCTATTATCAAAGAATTTCAATATTCGTTTTTTATAAGGAAAAATCTCTAGTTATTTTTATGTTATTTGATGATATAGGATTTCAAAATCAAATATTTTATTAGCATTAATTATCTTAAATTAGATATTGCTTTATTTTAAAATATTATTTATTTTTTGAATTTTGTGAATAAATAGAACTAATGAAATATGAAAAAAATATTAAAAGATACTTATACATTATTTTTAGAATGAATTAAATTTAAAAAATCATTTCATTTATTTTGGCTTCATTTTTATTCATTTGCATTGATACTTCCATATAAGATGGACGAAGAGGTTTGTCGAATGACTACAGTAAAACTCTCTATCACCACCACCATAAGAAAAGTAGCTAGTTTTGATGTTGCTGTTTCGGAATTAAGCTGCCGTGAGGGTTCAAATTACTCACGATTTCACACTAACGATTCCAATGATTACGAGTTTAACAAATGAAAAGTGCATGACGGAGCAGACTTACGAATTGGTCAATTACGAGTTCCACCTTGACTTGTTGGCCCTCGTTTGACGTCCACGGCGTGCTCGCCTTCCGCTTTGTCCTCTCTCCCCGATTTTCCATGCGCAGAGTGCGCACTGGAGACTGCGGATCTCCCAAATCACTATGTCCAGAAGATTTTTGGGCCACTTCCAGGCTGGAGCATCTGAGGTGAATGAAAGCGACTCCATTCTCGCCGAGGGGTGCAGAGAATCGTGCATGGAGCAGTGCGAAATGGGAACAGAAAATTGCACTGCTGGTAAGCTTTCATCGCCCTCACGCGGACCTCTCTTCGATGGCGTGCCGGGGCTCCCCGACTCTCTGCTTCACTGCCCCAGACTTCGTCTTATTCGTCTCCGGCTACTCCAGCGGGTGCTGAGAGATGTGAGAGGTGTTGCGCGCTGTTAATCCACTGATCGCATGTATGCTTTGTATAGTACGAGTGAAGCGAACGTTTGCGAAGATTGTACTGTGCGCTGCTGGTAGCGAGAGGATCCGACAGCACCGTGGAGGGAGGCTCGGACGCTCTGTTTTTCAGGTGAGTGACGGTGCCTTGCCCTCTGATCGGATGGTATGCACCATCTTCATGCTTGATAAGTTGTGAATGCTTAGACGTCGGAGGCGGCTTGTGAGCTTTCGTGGTCGCGAGCTGATCTCTGGTGCGGTTATGACCCAACTGAGAAAGCCGCTTCGAGTTTGCTCAACGGGAGCTTATCACGTGGATGTAGCGCTAATTGTTGGAGTTGTGCTCACTGTTTCTGGGGTTTCGAGTGCAGTTTGGAGCAGAGTAAGGAGTAAGAAGGAATAGCCGGTGCTTGAACGCTGATGTTAAATCTGTCCACTTGAGATTGGATAGTGTCTCTCCTTCTAAGGTGGGTGCGGGAGATGCTGGGGTTTCATTACTGCGTCAACGTCAGAAACTTTTTGCCGTCACAGCAGATTTTACGGGGACAGCAGACGGACTTGGGAACGCTTTTCAGCGTCGGTGGCTGCTTGCACCGTCGGCTGTGTGAGCTGTCTGGGCGTTCGACGTGTGGCTTACTGCTCGTCTTGCCTGGGCCGTTGGGTATGTGTTGTGTCTTGTGTTCCAGGCTCTAAGACCCGAGGTCTATCTCTGTTGCAATCGGAGCTTGGCCTCGAAACAGGCGTCGGGGCGGGGATGTGGAGCCTTCTACTGTAACCCTGGTCCCATGGTTTATCTTTAGTCTCCTGGACTGCTTCAAGGCCTGCAAACTGGAGTAGCTGTGCTATGTGGACGGGGATGGGGCCCCCACAGCCGCTCTAAGAACATGTGTGCCGTGCCGGGAGCAAACATTCAGCGTGGAACAGTAGTCTGGAGGGTGGGAAGGGAGCTCGTGGTGTGGGGAACTTGGGAGGTGAGGTTTGAAGTATTCGTCAGTGGTGCCTTCAGGTCCTAACTAGTGACACGATCGAAGACATCGTATTGCATTTGGAGTTGTTAGAATCCCGTTTAGATTTGCTTCTGAATGAAGCGCCTTTGGTGGAATACCAGAATGAGGTCCTCTGCTTGACGTTGCGGTTGTCATGGGTCTCTAGTGCTGGCTCTGCTGACATCGCCGTTGGAGCTTAGTGCTCAAGTTTGTTTTCTAGTGCAAGAAGCACAGTGTTTCTGCAGGTACGGAATGTTGGACTTTGACCTTATGGCTGGATCAGTGTTGTGTTGACATTAGTACCCATGTTGTGTGAACAGATTAATGTTGTTCATGTGGGTTTACCTTTCATGTGTGAATCGAGTTTGTGAATCCTGTGGTTGATGTTTTACTGGAGTGAATTGCAGCTTTGTTGTGATTTGCAGGCGACTCTCTTAAGACTGATATAGCATGATCTATTTAGTTACAAGGCGCATGGATATCGTTGTTGGTGGAGTTGAATACGACGTGAATATTTTTGTTTAGCTACGAATTGTTACTTCATTAGTGATGGAGTGCCTTGATATTCAAATGAAGTATGAAAAGGATTCTGTTATCTGGATGACTGTGGGACTTGACGCAAAGGTTTCTGATCTGTATGAAAAGTTAGGAAGGTGTTGCATTTTGGACAATGGAGTATCAGAGAAGTTCAAATTGATCAAGAACCAAGAAGAGCAACGCACGTTTTTGAAGAATGCATATGCTGAGAAGAAGGTATTTTTGATTTTGGATGATGTTTGGGAGAAGCCAAAGTATGATCATCATGACATGCTGTATTGGTTAGATATCTCGCGAGGTCCAGGATCTGCAACATTGATAACAAGCCGAAGTAAGTCAGTGCTTTGCAAAGTGCAAGCAAAAGTGGAAGTGGTGCTATCGCTTCCGAAAGAGGAGAGTTGGAAATTGTTTTGTTGTCATGCATTTGAGAGTGATGGTGCTCTTCCGACTACTTTGGAGGAGTTAGCTCGAGATGTTTGCGAAGAATGTAAAGGCCTCCCATTAGCCTTGAAGGTAATCGGTAGTGCAATGGCGGATAAAGCCACTGTGGCAGAATGGAGGTGTGCCTTACATGATTTGAGGCGGTCGAAACCCATTGTGGATTCTAATGTGGATGATGAGCTCTTTGGTCGTCTTGAACTGAGCTACAAGGAATTGAAGGATGATGCAACGAGGATTTGTTTCTTGTACTTCGCAGCATTCCCCGAAGACTATGAGATTGAAGCGGACAAACTTTTGAGGATGTGGGTTGCAGAGGAATTGTTTGGTTTGGATCTTAGTGTAGAGGAAGCCAAGGATAAGGCGAGGGCACATTTGGAAATCCTTGTAAGGCGGTCTCTGATCGATTGGAATCAAGGAAGTAAGTATGTCCACATATATGATGTTCTTCGAGATCTTGCAATGCACATAATTGGCAAGGCTGAACGTGGTGAATGTGGGTATGAATGTTTTTTCCAATCGAGAAAAGAGAATGCCATCATTCCAGAAACAGAGTTGCTCAAAGATTTGAAGAGGATGTCATTTATGAGTTGTAACATTTGTAAGTGGCCAGAGGATCTACAAATGCCTCATCTTAAAGTTTGCATACTTAGGGAAATATCTGATATACAAAGAGAATTGTTGACAGACATATTTAAAAAGATGCCAAATTTGAAATTTTTGGATCTCTCAAGCAACAATCTTTTAGATGGACAGGTTCCCTATTTTGGGAGCTTGGTATCTCTCACGCACTTAGAATTGCAAAGGAATCCATTTCATGAATTTCCAATGAGTGTTGTCAACTTGTACAAATTAGTATCTTTAAATGTTGCTAAATGTGGATCCTTGGAGGCACTTCCAGAGAGCATCGGCAATTTGAACTCTCTTGTGGACTTGGATTTGAATATATGTAGATCCTTGAAGGCACTTCCAAAGAGCATCGGCAATTTGAACTCTCTTGTGAAGTTGAATTTGAGAGATTGTCAATCCTTGGAGGCACTTCCAAAGAGCATCGGCAATTTGAACTCGCTTGTGGACTTGGATTTGTTTAGATGTCGATCCTTGAAGGCACTTCCAGAGAGCATCGGCAATTTGAACTCTCTTGTGAAGTTGAATTTGTATGGATGTCGATCCTTGGAGGCACTTCAAGAGAGTATCGGCAATTTGAATTCTCTTGTGGAGTTGAATTTGTCTGCATGTGTATCCTTGAAGGCACTTCCAGATAGCATCGGCAATTTGAACTCTCTTGTGGACTTCGATTTGTATACATGTGGATCCTTGAAGGCACTTCCAAAGAGCATCGGCAATTTGAACTCTCTTGTGAAGTTGAATTTGGGAGATTGTCAATCCTTGGAGGCACTTCCAAAGAGCATCGGCAATTTGAACTCTCTTGTGGACTTGGATTTGTTTAGATGTCGATCCTTGAAGGCACTTCCAGAGAGCATCGGCAATTTGAACTCTCTTGTGAAGTTGAATTTGTATGGATGTCGTTCCTTGGAGGCACTTCAAGAGAGTATCGGCAATTGAATCTCTGGTGGAATTGAATTTGTATGGATGTGTATCCTTGAAGGCACTTCCAGAGAGCATTGGCAATTTGAACTCTCTTGTGGACTTGGATTTGTATACATGTGGATCCTTGAAGGCACTTCCAGAAAGCATCGGCAATTTGAACTCTCTTGTGAAGTTGAATTTGGGAGATTGTCAATCCTTGGAGGCACTTCTAAAGAGCATCGGCAATTTGAACTCTCTTGTGGACTTGGATTTGTTTAGATGTCGATCCTTGAAGGCACTTCCAGAGAGCATCGCCAATTTGAACTCTCTTGTGAAGTTGAATTTGTATGGATGTCGATCTTTGGAGGCACTTCAAGAGAGTATCGGCAATTTGAATTCTCTTGTGGAGTTGAATTTGTCTGCATGTGTATCCTTGAAGGCACTTCGAGATAGCATCGGCAATTTGAACTCTCTTGAGGACTTCGATTTGTATACATGTGGATCCTTGAAGGCACTTCCAGAAAGCATCGGCAATTTGAACTCTCTTGTGAAGTTGAATTTGGGAGTTTGTCAATCGTTGGAGGCACTTCCAGAGAGCATCGGCAATTTGAATTCTCTTGTGGACTTGAATTTGTATGGATGTGTATCCTTGAAGGCACTTCCAGAGAGCATTGGCAATTTGAACTCTCTTGTGGACTTGGATTTGTATACATGTGGATCCTTGAAGGCACTTCCAGAAAGCATCGGCAATTTGAACTCTCTTGTGAAGTTGAATTTGGGAGATTGTCAATCCTTGGAGGCACTTCCAAAGAGCATCGGCAATTTGAACTCTCTTGTGGACTTGGATTTGTTTAGATGTCGATCCTTGAAGGCACTTCTAGAGAGCATCGGCAATTTGAACTCTCTTGTGAAGTTGAATTTGTATGGATGTCGATCCTTGGAGGCACTTCAAGAGAGTATCGGCAATTTGAATTCTCTTGTGGAGTTGAATTTGTCTGCATGTGTATCCTTGAAGGCACTTCCAGATAGCATCGGCAATTTGAACTCTCTTGTGGACTTTGATTTGTATACATGTGGATCCTTGAAGGCACTTCCAAAGAGCATCGGTAATTTGAACTCTCTTGTGAAGTTGAATTTGGGAGTTTGTCAATCCTTGGAGGCACTTCCAGAGAGCATCGGCAATTTGAACTCTCTTGTGAAGTTGAATTGAGAGATTGTCAATCCTTGGAGGCACTTCCAAAGAGCATCGACAATTTCAACTCTCTTGTGGACTTGGATTTATTTAGATGTCGATCCTTGAAGGCACTTCCAGAGAGCATCGGCAATTTCAATTCATTTGTACAATTGAGATTGTATGGATGTGTATCCTTGAAGGCTCTTCAAGAGAGCATTGGCAGTTTGAACTCTCTTGTGGACTTGGATTTGTATACATGTGGATCCTTGAAGGCACTTCCAAAAAGCATCGGCAATTTGAACTCTCTTGTGAAGTTGAATTTGTATGGATGTGGATCCTTGAAGGCACTTCCAGAGAGCATCGGCAATTTGAACTCTCTTGTGGACTTGGATTTGAATATATGTAGATCCTTGAAGGCACTTCCAAAGAGCATCGGCAATTTGAACTCTCTTGTGAAGTTGAATTTGGGAGTCTGTCAAACCTTGGAGGCACTTCCAGAGAGCATCGGCAATTTGAACTCTCTTGTGAAGTTGGATTTGAGAGTTTGTAAATCCTTGAAGGCACTTCCAGAGAGCATTGGCAATTTGAACTCTCTTGTGAAGTTGAATTTGTATGGATGTCAATCCTTGGAGGCACTTCAAGAGAGTATCGGCAATTTGAATTCTCTTGTGGACTTGAATTTGTATGGATGTGTATCCTTGAAGGCACTTCCAGAGAGCATTGGCAATTTGAACTCTCTTGTGGACTTGGATTTGTATACATGTGGATCCTTGAAGGCACTTCCAGAAAGCATCGGCAATTTGAACTCTCTTGTGAAGTTCAATTTGGGAGTTTGTCAATCTTTGGAGGCACTTACAAAGAGCATCGGCAATTTGAACTCTCTTGTGAACTTGGATTTGATAGTTTGTAAATCCTTGAAGGCACTTCCAGAGAGCATTGGCAA